TTCCAACCAGCTTCTGATAAAACTTAGAATTATTTGCTTATTGCGATTTTATTTATTTTTGTAGGTGTCAGTTTTTGTGGTGTTTTGTAAAATAAATATTTTAATACTTAATATATTATAGTGTGGAATAATATCTACAAACACCCATAATAAAGAATGCAATAGAACAATGATATTCTGATAACACATTATAGTGGCTTGAATTATTGGAACAATAATACAAACAATACAAACACAAGCCAAACCCTTCTAAGATCAATCCTTAATTTTGTGCTTTTGTCTGACAGCTTAACATCAAACTGACGCAGGTAAACCACACAAAGCTGTAATTGAAACATGTTAGAATTATCTTTTACTTTAAAAAATCTGTCTCTCAAATTGCCCCACAACATGAAATCACCTTATCGGTATTATCAATTGTTCAGATGATCATCTTCTGTGGGTGATATCAGTATTCCAAGTGTGAACCAAAAACTGCCCCTTGCTCAGTGCACTTGGCCGCCTATGGCAGTCTTTGATATGTAGTGGAGGAAAGAAAAACATGATTAAAAAATGTGTGTTACATTGTTCATTAGAGAAGCTGGGCTTCTGCTAATATCTGTGTGTAATTTGCACCGCTTTAATTAGGGTATTTATACATAGTTAAGAACATATAGTTCAAGCAATAAATTTACTACATTTAATGGCATGTATTTTCAATGAAAATACAATAGTAAAATTAAAAATGCCTTCAAAAGGATATAAATAAATTTGAACAGGAAAGTTTTGTTATATTTACTTACTAGTACACATATTTGCATATATCTGTTATGTATTTAGATTATTGATTCAGATGGATCATGACTATAGTACAAGTCACGTGGGTCATGTATGTGCATTTACCCATTTTAAATTAAATATATATTGTTCTTTTTAAATTGAACACTAATTTTCCGTAAGCAAATTATATCCAGATTATTGAAAGCTCTGCACCCCAACTCTCACCAAGACACTTCTAGAGGAAAATTATATATTTCTATGGACTTTTACAATGGTAGCCATGTACTAAACTTGTGTCAGCATACGAGCACGTTGAGTGGAATTGTCACAGTCGAGGGTAGTACGAATTTGTTTATCAATATGCGCAGCCTTTCATTGTTACTTCCGGGTTGTACTGGCTCACACCATTATGTTCATTTCCTCCAAATATGTCTAGGAAATTGAACATTGATTATGACGGGTCGTGGCGTCTAAATAACGACCTTCACAAATGAATATAGATGTATATGAATCCAAATGAAGTGAATACTTGCCACTTAAATATATGTGGAATCAAATTCTAATAGATGACACCCATTTACTGAAATAGTCGATGTTGATGCCTAAAATAATCGATAATCGATGCCTACATGACCCTTTTGACCTTTACTATATTTAAATTTTAAATCAGAGAAAATTGCTTAGAATCAGATTACTGCAGACTATATTTACTGTATTTCCAGTATTTTCGACATTGGTTAATTGATGTATTAAATCTAATTTTGTACTTAATGGCATTATTCTTTCTTTATGTAGTAATTCTAGTAATTAAATGCTGTATGCATTCTCTCTCTCTCTCTCTCTCTCTCTCTCTCTCTCTCTCTCTCTCTCTCTCTCTCTCTCTCTCTCTCTCTTCGGCCAGCACTCTGAAGAAAGTTGCACATACATGGGTTAAACAATGCAAACGTATTTGAAAGATACAATTTTATTACTGTAATAAAACTGACTTAACAAATTATCAAATAGCTGAACTTCTCTGATCAGTAATGATGTATAAATAAGAAAATGTGTATAATGGGTCACATACAATCTGATTACAATCAGATCTCCAGGGCCCAATGTAGGACAGTGGATATCGGGTTTTAAGCAGACTGTGATTGTGGCCTAATCTTCTTTGGGTCCTAAAATGCTGTGATTCAGAGCATCGGTGATATTGTTACCACGTGTAAAATAGTGACGTATTGCAGTATATCATAAAGATTGGGGCACATTTCATAACAAGTTAGATTGATGAATATTTTTGGCATCAGGTTGACTGATCTTGATACCATTCTGAAGATCAGACTTTGGTCCCTGTTTAATTGAGCCCAGAAGCAATTGCTGGTAAGCTTTCTCACATACTCACATTGACCAAAACTAGAATAGAACCCATGCAGACATTGGTTAGATGCGAGGAATCTGTAAAGTTGAGCGTATCAGATCGTATTGCCATCAGACCGTATTGCCATCGGACCATATGCCATGAGACCGTATTGCCATGAGACCGTATTGCCATGAGACCATATTGCCATCAGACCATATTGCCATCAGACCGTATTGCCATCATACCATATTGCCATCAGACCGTATTGCCATCAGACCATATTGCCATCAGACCGTATTGCCATCAGACCGTATTGCCACCCTGGGCCCTAGATTTATTTTTGTTAAATAAACTAACCTTGCATCAGACTGGTGGTTGAGCTAGTCAAATCTAGTACTCGATGTTTCATTAGATTTTGATCAAGCTTGGTGATTGTTATACACTTTTAATGATATGGAAGTATTTCATGTATTCATTGCACCCATTTGTGTAGATAATGATATGACATAACAAATAATAATCATGTTAGTCTGACCGTTTTATAATCTGAAGTTACAAACTGAAAGCCAGGTATATTCCAGACTATGAAAATTGACACTTTAAAGAGATATTTCAAACTTCATTCATAAAAAACATCACTGATACACATTGCTTATCCTCCCCTTCTGAACACTTAAATCAATTCATATAAATGGTAAATCATTTTCAACAACAGTTTGCATTTAAAACTAATAATTTTAGCTGTACTTTTCACAGGCTTCTGAGGAGTGGGCATTGAGGACTATAGGTGTTCGAATGGACATTTACATTATGGATCACTCGCACATTTCACCTCTGCCTGCATGAATTCAAGTCCTTCCTTGACCAGTGTAGCTTCCCATGCGTCATTGGTACTTCCCATGTTCTTTCTCCACCTAATGCAATGTGGCTTATCATATGCTGAAAAATATAAAACTCTGCTGGTCATAGACCAGAAGATATTACGGGATGGCCATTGGTCATTATCTCTTTAGCACAGATTTATTATAGCTGCTTGTAGGATTGCCATGAAACTACACAAACAATCATTATGAATATTTTTTGACACTGAAATGCAAAATGATTGAGTGGTGAAACTGAAGCTTTCGCAGGCAAAGTTAACTAATTATTTCAATATGGTTGACCAAAACGAACTTTGTCAGATTCATGTATGCAAATAAAGGAACATCTCAGTTACATTAAAATTTCTCAAGTAACAGGTCGCAAAAATGCAAAAGACATGTTGAATATTTCCAATTGCTGTGGTCATTTCAATCAGTTAGCAGCTACAGGACTTTAGGGACTGTCGAAACATCATCTGAAATAAAATATTGTGCAATAAACATCTTAATGCACTTCAAAATAGTTCATATAAAGGCCGTTTTTGAGATATTCTATGTCTTGAATTCACATATCTACAATCATTGACGGATGGCTCTTCTTTCTGCCAGATTTTTTTATTTCACTGTCTACTGCAAGTTAATTATAGGAGGTGAACACGCCTCACATCAATTTCAAGAACATCACAAACTTTTAATTCACAAATATATCTATATTTTTAATTATTTTACAATAATATCTGTAAAAGTCACAACATATTCTTAAGTTCAGAAATGTGACAGACCGATTTACAAACCATTCTCTCCACCTTAAACATTTAGCTGAAAAATAATACTGTACTTATATATTTAAACATTTGAGACAATGCTAAAACGAAACATTTACTGTATGTAAAACTAATATTATTACTGTACCCTTCTACAAAGTTATTATTTTGATACAAATGCATTGCAATTGTGTACATTATGAGTTATGACCAACCGCATTTCTTGCCACTATAGCCTCAGGACAGTACCAAACCAATTCTGATTGAATGCCGAGAAGGGATTTTGGAGCTGCAAATTGTTGGAGTGAAACTACAAAATTTTCTAAACTGTTCTAGGTAACGTAACAGAAAGAAACTGCAGTCAAGTAAAGAATGTGCTGTGAAAGTAATTTTAGGCTCAAATAAACTAAGAAGTCCTAATTTTTTTTTGTTCTTCTGGTTAGCATTAATAGCATCAACAATGTTGTGTGTGTATTGGGGAGGGGCTAATCACAATAGTCTAGCTAATTAGGAAAGATCAAAGTTTAACCTTCAAACATTAGGCCATTGTGCAACATTGATACACTGCTGTATGTAACACAAGTAAGCTTATAAAGTTTCATACCAGATAAATCAAAGGACACATGGGCACTTAGATTGATCGTACATATATAAATAATCTTTACAATTTAACAGGGAAATTTCTTATCAGACTACAGTTCACTTCAGCTGATATTAAGGATTTCTGGAGTTTCAAAATGATAGATACTAGAAAGATAGGGTACAGAACAAATATTAACAGTGTCAAGTTCAGTTAAAGACTGGAAATATTTCAAGTGCCTGACCTTTTATATGCACATTCCACAAAGCACACCTAGAGCCGAAGCTAAATCTGTCCATTAATCGTAGACCTGGATGAGAATCGAACGAGTACTTCTATCAGCATGACTGACCAATTAATCATAATATTTTACCATACAAAAAAAGACCTGTAAAAGAAAAAAAGCAGGTGATACTAGTGCACTTTTAATACTAAGAGAGAATGTGAGACCGTGGTGTGTGATTTGGACTTTTAACGTAGCTTTAACGATTTGAGTCATATCGTTACGATGTCTGTAGTGTAACAGTTTATAATGATGTCTAGCACTGCAGCAACGTGCCGGAGACGTGTTGTTATGTCCCACCCAGTTACATTATCCAAACACCAGCCAAATCAGTCTGAATACTAACCTCTTACTGCTGAGCACCTAGAGATGCATCTGTTAGGACTATTATTTTATAAGTCTTTGGTATGACTTGGCCAGGCCGGTAATCGAACCAACGACCTCCAACATCTGAGGCAGGCACTCTAACTACTGAGGTCAACAGAGCGGTCGGAAGTGTAAGAGGCGAAACTATATTGTTAACTGCAGAAAAACTTTCTGAACTAATTACACTGAATATGAAAACTTTTTTTATATTGTGAATGTCAACGAAAGATACGTACCTTTACTTTCAGCTGGTAAATGCATTTAGGCTCTGACTTTGGCTAGGGAAATCTGTATGATAAGAGAAAATAATGATCCGCTCTTTGGACCCACTATTTCCTTTCATATAGCAAATTAAGCCAAAAATGCCTTACTTTATCTTGATGGAAATAGTTCAAACATGGAGGTGCTAAACGCAGTTACCTCCTCTAATTTGAGCCATGCATGTAGCAGAGTTATATGTGGAAAAAAGGAAATTAGTATAAAGAGAATAATGCATACAAAATTACTTAAACACAGAAACTACACAGAAATCGAAACTTTTGGCAGATTTGGCAAACTGTGCCAATAAAAGTTAACTTTCCTTAAGGGCGTAAGGGACATTTTATATGTACAAATTTTAATGCCTCGTCCACCTACCTAATATAAAAAATAATCATAAAAAGTAAAAGAAATACACAAGTACGGCTAAAAGGTCCTTGTTTATTTTGAATAGTTATATTAACGATATATATAAGAGTATTAATCACTTGACCTTTATAGCAATAAGAAGTTAATGCAGCGCAACCCAACATTTATACCTGAATTTTTCATATACGAAGATTAGTCCTTCAACGTAGACGTATCACAAGATATTTTTGTTTTGGTGCTACGTCTTATTGTCTAAATCACAGCCATGTGTAGTGCACAGGATCTTGACGCAAGCTTGATATTGAAAATAAACAACAATATGAAGACAAAAACTCAGAGTGAAAATTACCTCAGAGTATCCCATCTGACATAGGCCACTATCACACTATAACAGAGACTCAATTTTATTTCATTGTAGAGTTTGAATCAAAATGTCGTCAAAATATCTGAAGTGTTGTGACGCATCGGTGTCGTTCACATAATTCAGGCAAAGGTTCCTAATTGTTTCACTTCCACTTGCCCTTGTGAAATATACCAAGCCATTGACACAACAAAAATTATAGAGGGGAACAGACGAACGTTTAAAATTATCGATGAATCCGCAATCGCCATGAAACTTCAGTGAGAGAGAAGAAGAAGGGAAAAGGTCACGACGTGATTGGTTGTCTCACACACGAAACGAAGTGTTCGCTCAAATAGAAGACATGAGTGAACCTGAATCAACACCTTCCACGTCCATCCCAAGACGAAGAGAGCCTACCCATAACGAAAGAAAGTCAGTAATACCCGAAAAGTGTACCTACAAGCCAAAGACGGAAAACACTATTCCAAGTATACACTTACACGGTGATGTTTAAAGATTTCTAGTCCAAAGTGCCACTCGAGAATGCAGGCAGATTTCATCACCGATTCCTTGTGAACCACACTGAAACGACGATGCGGAACCAACGAAGACGATCTTGAGAGACTCCGTTTATCACGACAGTTTAAGATCGCCCGTCTGGATCGAGTTTAGCAGCCGGGTAAAACTGACACCTTCCAAAGTCATCGGCATGGTTCAACACCAATTTCAGATCAACGAGGGAAAAGCTACTCTTTACTTGACATACGTTTACCCACCCACCCTTAGAAAGGGAGCGGACGTTTAAAAGTGTTATTGGTGGACGGCTTTGGCATACCCAAGCGCAGCATTGACCAAATTAACAATGACTAAGATCAAATGTGTTTAGCCAGATCCGACATCGTGGGACGACACGGCAGAATGGAAAAAAGACTGGAAAGGTATACAAAAATCGGACTGAACCAAACATCGAAAAGAAGCAGAACACATTTTACAGTAAGTTGGCCTATCGAATAGCACAGTCTTCGGCATCACTGAAATGCAGAAACAGCATGACGTCTTGGTTCCACGTTGCACATTAAAATTGTACCCTCAAAATTTGAATGAACCTCTACTGTTTCGAGGCGACGATTTCCCAGACGGAAAATACATTCAGATCTATCATCGCGAAGATCATTTTGATGCCATTTATCAATATCACCGGCTTTCTCAGATACGCTTATGAGAAATGTGACCTTGAATTAATAGTCAGGAGCAACACATTCATTGTGGACAGAAATGTCGGGTTTAGCTTCTAAGCGCTGTCGTCACGAAGGTCAAAAACAAATTCATTACTCGGCTTGTCGGGGAACATTTTTCAGCCTTATGTGTTGACAACAACATCCCATGATATGTTCACAGAGAAAAAAAGCTTGACAACTCCTGCGATTAAGCTATAATTGTTCAAAACTGAAAAGCGTCAACCACCTCAGAACGCACGTTTTGTACTGGAATGCAACGATATCATCTTTATCAGCAAATCGTGGACTTGGAATATGAACATTATATTCAAATATATTAATCGAACAGGAGGAGGATGAAAAGATGAAAAGGAGCTTCATCTTCTTCAATTTCAAATTGATGCAAGAGATTGGCATTTATATTTCTTATTTGCGCATGATTCATCGAGCGCGCAAGAAGCAAATCAATAACATAGCTTTTCATTGCTCATAATGTAACAAGATTACAGGAGGACGTAGAAAAAAATCTTTCGAAGAACTAACACGCTTCCAACATTCGTCATAAGGATGTTAGACCATATTGACGACACATGGAGTTTTTAGGACATTAAACGTTACGGAAACTGTAATCGCTATTCCTCAGGATAGCTCACAATTTCTCGGGACACGATGGACGATTTCTTTGGAAATAATATACAGAACAAGGCACCAAATACCCCAAGTCACCTTGAACAAAGCTAAACCATCTCCATGCAAGTGGGATAAATACGCTTTAAAGATTCCATGAGTTATTTGACTAGTATTTGAGTTTGATGCTTAAAATGTTTGGAATGGCAGAAATTGCCAGATGACATTTTCAATACGCAAGCCAAACCAATACGCCTTCCTACCGCATTTGCCTGACTTTCAGGAAGAAATGTTAAATTTTTGTTGATCATACGTAATTATTTTACATTGTTACTGTGGAAGTTCAATGATGAATTGGAAGAAATCGAGCCGGTGCAGTTTTAATCAGTTTTATAATTATTTTAGTGTACATTCAGAATATGGTACTACCAGCTCTGGCAAAGATCATGTTAGATTTTAAGAACGTATGTAGTTAGCATACTTCTTAAGTAACGTTACTGTATAGGTGAATGTCATTTTCCAAGCACGTGGAAGCAGTTTATTATAATAAGGTCGATATCCGTTACACATTTGTCTTGTTATACTGGTCATCAGATATGCCTGCAAAGCAATTTACGGTCTGTTAGAATGTGAATTAGAGCTCTGTTGGGCTCCACACGGATTAACGCAACAATTTTGCATCAGAATTGTTGCGCTCTTTCGCAAGAAATTGCGCGTTGATGACCAGCGGTATAAACTGACCGAGCGTCTGGTTTTTGTAATTAGACCTAAATGGCTGAATTGTCGCACACTTCAGAAACTGAGTATAAGTAGCAAGTTAAGTGGGTTTTTTATTAGTTCCATTATTGCTGTTGCAATGCAGGATGTTAATGGTGACATTTTTAAAATTCATTTGCTTAAAATTCATTTGCACGGAAAAATACGTGAATAATAAGACAACACATAAATTTGTGCTTAGGGATTTTGACAAAAATGTATTTTATTAACTTAGTGGCTGGCCTAAAGATGTGTCACGTTTGTGCAACTATTTCTTGGTGAAGTTAGCAAAATAAAAGGTCTAGTTCTCATTTTTAACATAGTTTCAAGTGAATTTTAAGGTACGTGATGAAGTCAAATCTTACTAAATGTTTTCCAAGTACATATAGTATATTGTATAAATTGTATTTATAAATGATTTTTCTCCTTTTTCGTAATTATTACAGCAGTGATTAAAAATGCTGAAACATTTGATATTGGTAAAATTTGGAAACAATTTTTAAAAATTAAATTAAGCTTTTTGACGCAAATAAATAATGAACTATTTTAGACACCACCCATAAAATTATATGATAAACGAATTGTACTGTATTTGAAATGAACTTACTGAATGAACGATGATGCTGTTCAAACAACATACTTAAGTTAGAAATCAAGTGCTGAGGAATGTTAGGCAAGACCTATATTTCTGACTCAGCTGAAGATAATGAAAAAATAATAAATAAAGAGATTATGACAATAATTGAAATTTAATATTGACTTGACTACTGATTGTAGCTGTATCAACTACATAGTCAGTATGGTATTGCAAACCATATTAATACATTTACAAACATACACTATTAGAGACATTATAATGATAATAAAGTTCATTTATAACAGACTGAACCATTATAAAGAATTTTACAGTGTAAGAAATATTCAGCCTCTAAATGAAGAAAGTGTACAACCGTTACGACCAAGTAACACTCATAAAGCTTGTTATAAGAAATGTCCATCATACAATTCGTATGCGTAGTTTCAGAATTTTATTCGCTATTACAAACAAACGTTTTCCTTTAAACAAACAAGACTGTTTGTATAATGGAGACTTATTTTTGGTCTTTGTTTAACATCCATACCCATGTATTTTACATCTTGGATTGAAGTGTTGTTCAAGTAATCTGGAATATTCCTTGTCAACTAGACTAGATGAGGTAAAAGATGATATGGTACCTTAATGGGCGTGAATTGCAAGTAAATCATACATTCTTGGTATCATTCCCAGATACGGTATATATACTGTACAGTACAGTGCACGCTGTAACACAAAACTCATAATAATATAACAATACATCAAGGAAAACGTCGAGGTGATATACTCAATAGTTACACATTAAATCTGGATTATGTCGAAAAGTGAAACACGATTACACTAATAATTCATAATCTAATTCATTGGAAATAGCCCAAATATATATGATGTATAAAGAACTGTACATTATCAATTCTAAAATAAGGAGGAAATATACTCAACTAAAAATATTCAAGGTATACAATATTTATTAATATG